CACTCGTGGTCCACACTAGTGCCAGCAAATAGAACCTTCTGCTGTGGTGGAAATGGTCTATTTCTGCATCATCCTGCGTGGCAGCCACTAGCCACCTATGCACAGCAAGCACTTCAAATGTGGCCAGTACCACTGAGAAGCTGAACTCTCATTTCCTTTCCATGTACTTAGCTGCTTGTAGCCAGTTGGCTCATTAGATCTGGAAATTCTCCCAGTGTCATCTGGCCTCGGTCTTTCCCTCCGGGGCTGTGCAGATTCCAGTCAAAGTCCCAGGACTGGGCCTCATTGGCCTGGCCTAGGTCACATGTCAGTGCCTGGAAATAGAAGAGTTGATTCCTTAGAAGTAAAACGAAGTGATACACCCCAAAGAAGTATGTGGGTAGGGAGTTGGGTGGGGGGAAGCATTCAAGAGATGTCATGGTGGCAAAGCAAAACAGAACAGAGACCCGGCACACGTGGGAGCTTGGAGCTTCACAGGGCTGGTGATTTGAGCTTCCATAGAGACGACAGCCTGGGAAGGCCCCTGCTCTTGGGTCTCCTCACAAGCTGGGACCCTGGATGCCTTCTCCACACAGCCCTCCAGGCACAGGCAGCCATCAGCCCTGACCTGAGTGGATGCAGGTCCAGGGTCCCGTTGGTCATCTACGTCTTGTCCCTATGCCTCCTCCGCCTCTGACGGAAGGCCCTCTTCAGGACCTTGCCTGGGCACTCAGCTGCAGGGGAAGTCTCTGGGCCTAGGGCAAGAGGAGATGGGTGAGAGGGCAGTCTGAGCCCTGAGTCCCTCCGGTGTGCCTTGCACTTGGGCGGGCACATGAGGGACACTAAGGCTAGGTAGGAGCAGGTAACTGGCCTTCCTAGACCACACAGCTGTTGGATTTGAAGGCAGTTCTGGGCGATTATTCTAAGACCACAGCTTTTTCTCTGCTCCATAGCTCTCCCAGGGAGGCCTGGCTTGCCCTGAGATCAGCCTGCCGTTGTGGAAGGGACTTCCTCAGGCTCAGCCGTTGAGGGCTCGTCGTCCCTTCCTCCTCACCTCCCACTTTCAACAAGTCAGAAACCATGCGGAGCTCATGGGGACTCTAGAAGTCTTCCTGGGGAGCGAGGGGAGCCACTGGGTCCACCTACCCAGGGCAGGGGAGGCCTTGGGTGGCCTTGAAGCTGCTGTGAGGGGCAGTGGGAGGGCCAGGTGTCAGGATGTGAGGATTTGGCTGCGAGTCCCTGCTCCACCCTCAGCTCACTGTGCAGGTCTAGGGTGGTGGGGAGGCCAGCCCTGCTTTCTCTGTGAATACTTGGAATTTCCTATGAATATGGAGGCTGTAGCTGCCCAGGTTTGGGGGGGTCCTCCATGCCTTGTCTCCAAGTCTTGGCTGCCACAGCACCCTCCAGCCAGCCCTGGACACATGGTCAGTGGTCCATGTGGACTGTACCAAGTGGTCCCCATGGGGGCCACGGGCCTCTCCAGCGCCTACAGCCAGCAATCACCCAGCATTCCAGGCGACAGCAGTGTGCTCATTGCACGGGGAGCTCAGACACAGCCCTGGGCAACCCAGTTATGGAACGGGAGGAAGAGGAGTTAGAATGGTCACATGGAGGAGGTAAGCGGCCACTCTGAGCAGAGAGGACAGCAAGAGCAAACACTGGAAGCCAGGGTGCTGCCAGGGGGTACTGCATCGCCAGGGTCAAGGATTGGCATGGAAGGACACAGAGGTGCCCTTCCTCCTCAGCGCTGCTGCTGTTGTCGGGTGCCATCGAGTTGACTCAGACCCATAGGGGCCCTCTGCACAGAGTGGAGCCCTGCCCGCCCTGTGCCGTCCTCACAATTGGTCCGATGCAGGAGCCCATTGATGCAGTTGCTGTGTCCATCAGGGCCTTCCTCTTTTTATTGCCCTTCCACGTTAACAAACATCATGTCCTTTTCCAGGGCCAGTAGGTCCAAAAGGCCTCTGAGGAGCACTCTGGCCTTACTTCCAGTACAGGTTGGTTTGTCCTTTTAAGAGATCCATGGTATTTTCAATATTCTCCAGCACCGCAACTCATACGCATCAATTCTTCTACAGTCTGCCTTATTCAGTGTCCAACTTTGTTTAAGATCTTGCTTTATTTTTAATTACTGAGATTCTTTTTTGTTGTTAAGATTTTGCTTTCAGTGTCCAACTTTGACATGCACATGATGCAGTGGAGAACACCCTGGCTTGGGTCAGGTACACCTTAGTCCTCAAAGAAACAGCCTTGTTCTTCAATCCTCTCAAGAGGTCTACAGCTGAAGCTGGTGGGGGTGGGGGTGGGGCACATGTCAGATTCAGAGCGCGGCAGGAAGTGGGGCTGGTGCATGACCGGTGTGGTCGTGAAAATAGGTACTGGTTTGGGATCAGGCATTCTTTCCTCACTCACCTTCTTTAAGAGAAGAATGTGTCCCTTAGCCTGTGGTCCTGGCATGGGATTGGAGAATGGTCTACTCCTACTATCAGCAGGATTTCCAGGCTCCCTATCTTCTTCGTGGAAAATTTGTCAAAGCATGATCGCTGACAGTCCAGTGGGAGGGAAGAGGGAAATCGTGTACTCCTCCTGAATCTCTTAGTACCCTGTAGTCAACTGACAACCTTCTGAACAGTGCGGACGGTGACGGTGTATACTCCGTCCAGCACACTGGATATGCAGTCGAAACCAAGTCTGTTCCTTGATTGGTATTTTCTCTCTAGAAATTGCAAGGAGGTGGTCTTTTGGTCTTAAAGGAAATAAACAAAATAGGAAGCCCCCCCAAAAAAAAAAAAAGGTCTTGTGCAGCAGATTTACCTAATGCAATTCCATCTTGCCTCGGAGCTACTTGCCATCCATGTCTTAAGGACACCTGCCTGACCTGGCATGGAGGCTGCCAGAGTAATACAGCGAGATAAATGTTTCTGGAAAACAGCTCAATAGCCCTGAAGAGACAGACTCCCATTGAAGGAGGTGACTGCCATTATCCATCAGTGTAGCCCCCAGGATATCCCTTGGTCACAAGGCTGGGTCTAATACCTCTCTTCTAGGCCATGGGAACTCCTGGTAGCTTAGGTGAAGAAGGCTAAGCTTAGAGGAAGTCAGGGCCTTGAGAGTCTGAACTAGGCCATGACTGCATCCCAGGTCGAGGGAAGCCTGGCGTGGAGTTTGGGGTAGAACTTCTAAGATGAGCCAGTACATAGCTTCCAGAGGTCAAGGAGGGCCGGAGAGGCTGCTGAGGCTTTAGAAGTTTAGGTTTAGGTTAGTTGAGGTTTGTTTAACGGGTGGGTAAGTTAGGTTTGAGCCAGACCCTGCTTGGGCCAGGGAACAAAGCAAATATCTCGTCGAAGACGCAGTCTGGAGAGAGTGGCAGTAAGCACTTAAACAACTAGGTGGACAATAGCATGTCATGTCGGTGCAGAAAAACCGAACAAGGTAGGGATGCGGGCAGCGATGGTAGAAGAGCAGCTGCTGGTGGCTCAGCGCTGCTTTCCTCCTGCTCCAGACTAGTCCAGGGAGTCCCGCCCCTTTCCCGCCTCCAGCAGCGGCCCACGAGGAAGCAGCTTCAGTTCTAGGTGTGGCCACTGGAGGGCAGCACAGAGACAGGCTCTTACTTGGCAGCTCTGAGAACAGCCCTTTGCCGTCTAGTTCTCTGGACCCAGGGCAGGCCCAGGGGTGTCAGGGCAGAACTCTGTTCCAGAGGGTTTTCAGTGGCCGGTTTTCCAAGCGTAGACCCTCTAGGCTGGCTTCTGAGGCACCTCGGGGTGGACTAGAGCGGCTCGCCTTTCAGCAGCTGGGCGTGTTGACTGTTGGTCTCCCATCCAGGGACTCCTGAGAAGGGGGACACTCAGGGTTGGATCGGTAGGGGTGGGGGTGGGGGTCACCTGCACAGCCTCACCTTGCCTGTGGGGTGGCTACGGACCCAGTGGTCAAGACTTTGGCTGGGACCCACACAAACTTGGGGTCACCTCCCAATTGTTAGGAAGCAGAGGCAGGATTCAGATTTGGGGTGGGGGTGGGGCTCTGTCATTGTGGAATCAAGCAAGGTGACACTATGTCAATTGCCCGGCACACACAGTATGATGGTTGTGCCACGGGAGCCTGAGCTGGCTCTGACTCCGGTCCTGGCCGTTCTGACCTCAGACCGCAGGCATCCTGCCCCCTCTACACACATCCCTACCCATGACTTTGCTCAGGTGGTTCCCCTTGTTGGGAAACCCCTTTCTCAAGAGTCCTGTGAGTCTTCCCACAGCCCTTCAAGGGCCAGCTCTGAAGTTGGCTCTTCCCAGAAGCCCTTGCTACTGTCAGTGCTCATCCTACCTCGGTAGCTCCATTTCAGCCTCAGAACGTCCTGCCCCTTGACTTGCCCGGGGTCATTCTCTCCTCTCAGACAAGAAGGCAGCCGCTTCGGCAGGGATCTGCCTTGTGTTAACTATCAATCCCACCACTTACAGCGCCTTCAGCTTCCTCGCCCTTGAATCCCCTCCTGGGATCCGGGATAATGCTAGCTACTCTGCTGGTGCCTCCAAACAAGGTCCTTGTGCCAGTCCAGGGCAGTGAGCAGCGGTCAAGGGGGCTGCTCACACCTGGCTGCTTCTGTGTTCCCCCGCAGGCCACCTACGTCTACATGAAGGCTGCCTACCTCAGCATGTTTGGGGAGGAGGACTACAAGCCGTTCGGGGATGACGAAGTGGAGCTGTTTAGGTAGGTCCCACCGCCACCACGCCCTTCACAGGCCTCTTTCCCTCCCATCAGCACCCGCTCTGCCGCTGCTCCTGGGGTCAGAGCCTGGCATCTGTTTAGAGGGGTTCTTTCACAGTGATCTTGCCAGCGTTCTCCCCGCTGAGCCTCTCCATCTGGCAGAGGCGGCCGAGGTGCCCAGAGGGGACGGCCTTGGCCACCTGCTGAGCTAGGGTTACCCACTCCAAGCGGCACAGCAGGGAGCCCAGGAGTGGAACCGACACACAGGATTAAGCCCAACCCTCTGCGACTTCTTAGCAGTGCCGCTTTTCAGCATTTTTAACCCTGGAAGGATCACCTTGGCCTTGAAGGTGGCTTTGGGAATAGAACATGACATGTTTGAGGACCCTGGCATGGAGCCTGGCGCCTCCTGAGTTGCCCACAGAGTGGTGGCTGTTTCCATTCTCCAGGCAGCTATATTTGCCTCCTGAGAAGGCTGTGGGAACAGGGTCTCCTGGAGAGATGGGCCCAGTCCCAGGAAGGATCACGAGGGACCTGGAGCCTTGCCCCAGTAGGGCTGGGCCCCACCCAACTTCTCAGACCTAGAAGTGGGTGTAACCCAAGCTTCCTGGGGCTGCTGGTGTCAAAATGATAGGGTGTCTACATGCTGCGTGTCTGGCACGACCTGTCTCCATCTCGTCTAACACCCTCAAGACCCTTAGGAGGGTCAGCTTCATTGTGCCCATTTCAGAGATGAGACAACTGAGGCCCAGAGACCGAGCAGGAGAAGGGTCGGGGGAGCTCACACCCAGGTTCAGCTGTTTCTGGAGTGAGTCCCAATGGCTCAGCCCTGAGGCCCCCACGCCCCCAGGGGCTGTGGCAGACCCGGAGGGTGGGGATGGAGTCCTGGGGGCCAGACCCTAGCTGAGGCAGCTTGGCTAGCTGCATGCCACATTGTACTGCTTTTTGAAACAGCGGGGGCCGCAGTCCATATGGCAATGTGGTTAAGGGCTTGTGCTGTGTACTATTCTCTGAATGGTGGTCTCCCCTGAAAAACTGGGGTTGGGCCCTCCTGAGAAAAAGACCCTAGGACTGGAGGAGAGACAGCCTGGGGCAGAACGGGCCTGGGTGCTTTTGGGGGCAGCCTCACCACAGCTGGCCAGTGTGTGTGTGTGTGTGGGGGGGTGTTGCCTAATGACAGGAAGTGGCCAGGCCCTGGGGCAAGGGTGTGAAGTAAGGCCATAGCCACAGGCGGTTTCTGGTGTGAGGGAGTTCTTTAGAGTTTAACCTTCTCATCTGTGGAGAAGGGGAAGCTGCGGGTGTGTGGGGGGTGCGGGGGTGTGGGGGTTCTGCTCAGTCCACTCTCATTTGCTCTCCACCTCTTGTCTTTCACAGAGCTGTGCCCGGCCTGAAACTCAAGATTGCTGGGAAGTCTCTGCCCACCGAGAAGTTTGCCATCAGGAAGGCCCGGCGATACCTCTCCCCCCACCCTGTCTCCTTGCCAATCCCTGCGCTGGTGGGTAGACGGGCCCTACACCTCAGGCTAGGGTCGTGGGATCTGCTGAGGGCCAGGATGAGAGCCAGGGGTTCGAGGGCGGGCCCTTGTCTGGAGAGGGTGGCTGACTCATGCAGCCACCTGTGGGACGCCTCTCCTGTGCCCTGCTCTGGGGCTGAGGCAAAGGGAGTAGAGCCCGACTCAGCGCCTGCCTGCGGAACTGCTGACCCTGGGGGTGGGGAGACAGGTGCGTGCACGCTTGGCATACCTCCCGGCGGAAAGGCAGCCTTCCCAGACGGGCGGGGCCCATTGTCCCCGCCCTTAGGAAATGATGTACGTCTGGAACGGCTATGCGGTCATCGGGAAGCAGCGGGAGCTCACAGACGGCATGCTCGAGGTCATCACGCAGGCTGAGGAGACGCTGGGCAAGAGCCCAGGTGACTGTCTTGGACCTGCCAGGCTTGGCCCTCCACCCAGCATGCCCACCCGACTTCTCTACCCTGTCCTTTTGTCTTTCCTGGCTCATCTTCAATGTCACCTCTGCTCCAGGAAGTTCCCCGTTGCCCCGCAGGTAGAGCCAGGGTCTCTGCTGAGCTCTCCACAGCCCCCCCGTGGCCAGCCCTGAAATTGTCTTGTCGTGTCAGGGGTGCCTTTCCTTCTCAGACGCCAGCTCCCTAAGGACGAGGACCATGTCCAAGTCCTCTGTAGTAATGACCGGCCTGTGTTCTTCCCGCACATGCACATCCTACTTGCAGAGAACGAATATTCTGTGGACGACGAGTGTCTGGTCAAACTGCTGAAAGGCCTGTGTCTGAAATACCTGGGCCGAGTCCTTGAGGCCGAGGAGAACTTCAGGAGCATTTCTGCCAAGTAAGTGGAGGTCTTTGGGTGCCACTGCTCTGCGTGGGCTTCTAGCTGGACCAGGGGCTCTCGGGAAGAATTTTCAGGGCTTCTCCATCTTCACATCCACGACAGACCCCAGCCCAGCCTACCCCATTGACTACCTCTCGCTTTGTGTGGATGATGCCCCCAGAGGGGGTAATACAGTGGCCTGTCCCTCTCTGGGTGAAGCTTTTAAAACCAAAACCACATTCAAGGGCCATGAGTCAATTCTGATGCATAGCAACCCTATGGGACAGAGTTGAAGTACTTCTGAGTTTCTGAGCCTGTGACTCTTGACAGGAGTGGAAAGCCCCGTCTTTCTCCCTTGAAGAGCCCAGTGGTTTGGAACAGCTGATTTGTGGTTAGCAGCCCAATACATAACCACCACGCCACCAGGGCTCCTGGGTGAAAGTACAGAGGGGAAGAATTGAAGATTCAGTGAAGGTCACCGCCAGGAGTTGAAGAGAGCTCCACAGCAGGGAGTTTCTGAGAGCCTGGGATGTTTGGCTCATTAAAGACAAAAGAGCCAGGAAGGCGGCTGGGCAGGGGAGCTCCTGAAAGATTTGGGTTTTTAAAAGGTAGGATGGAAGGTGGTTCAAATCAGAGAGACTTCCCAATGTGATAAATGATTCCACCTGGAGAAAGCTGGGGTTGACCTAGGACAGGACTGGAGCCAGAGTTGTCAGAGAGTTGGGGGCCCAGGCAGAGGATCCGATAGAGAGGCTCACCTTCCTGGTTCAGACCAGGGAGCCCCTCATGAGCACTTGGGGGACCATCGTGGAAGCACTTGCAGGTTCACTGAAGGGCAGCACGTGAGTGCATTCTGCTTCGTTCCCCAGTGAAAAGAAGATTAAATATGACCACTACCTGATCCCAAATGCCCTGCTGGAGCTGGCTCTGCTGTTTATGGAACAAAGCAGAAATGAAGAGGCCGTCAAACTCTTGGAAACTGCCAAGTAAGGCTTAGGTAGCTTTGCCCTGGCCCCGGCTCTGGCAGAGGAGCCAGGCAGCAGTGACTGTGGTGGCTGGCAAAAGCAGTGTAGGTGTAGGTGTAGGTGTAGGTGTGTGTGTGTGTGTGTGTGAGATTGGAGGTGGGGTGGGGATGAGGTGAGGGTAGGGAGAGGCGAGGCTTTCAAAGGAGGAATTAGAACCCCAGATAGTAGGTAGGGGTGGTGGTGGTGGTGGTGGTGTGTGTGTGTTTGGGTGGATGGGGAAGGGAGGGAGAGGCAAGGCTTTCCAAGGAGGAATTGGAACCCCAGAGAGGGGGGCGGGGAGTGGCCCAGGGTCTCACGGCAGGGCTGGTGGTGGGATGTTGGCTCCACCTCTCCAGCCCTGGGAACCCACCCCCACCCCCCTCTCCAAACCCAGAGGCGACAGGTTAGGGTAGGCTTCAGCATGGAGACTCAGCAGGACCAACGGTGTTTCCCCGAGGCCCTGTCCCCTGGGAGAGGGAACTAATCCTCCTGGTGGGCAGGGTCCAGCCCAGTCTGTGGATACAGACTGGGGCTTAAGCCTGCAATTGCCCTTCTTGGCTGATGGGCTCTCCCCCAGCTCAGACTGAAGGACAAGCGCTCCTGGAGCAGCTGCCCGGGGCTGAGTCTCTGCTTTCTTCCAGGCAGAACTACAAGAACTACTCCATGGAGTCAAGGACACATTTCCGAATCCAGGCAGCCATGCTCCAAGCCAAGTCTTCCCTAGAAAATGGCAGCAGGGCCGTGATCTCATCCGTGTCCTTGTAGCTCTGTGCAGTGCTTTTGGGCTGGACGACAGACTAAAACAGCTGGACAGAGCTCCTAGAAGCATTTCAAAAAGACCCCTCTCCCTGCCCTGCCTTTGGGGCCTGCTGAAGCTCCATTGGGCTGACATGACGTTGGCTTCCATGCGGAAGCAAAGCTGGCGTTTCCCCCCAGTGGGACCCTGGGCCTTTGCCAAGGACAGAGGGAGTGGAGTCCTCTGCCTGCCCCATCACACATACGGGTACTTGGGTTTTTTTCCACTGTGATGTTTAAGAGAATGTGTGAAACAGTTTACATTTTCTTCAGAAATACATCGACAGGATCATAGTTGGCTTAAAAACAAACACAAAACCAAAACCAACCAATCACCTGTAACTTTTTGCTTTAACCCATACTGATCTGGAGGAATCCTCTTTCTATGATGCCAAAGGCCAAATTCTTTTCCAAGCTTCAGGAACTTCTCCACTTACAGGGGGGCTGCAAAGCCCTTCATTCAGTGGGACTGCACGCTGTCTGGGAGAAGCAGCACCTCAGACTTCTATTTGCCTAGGACTTGGGCCTAGGCCAAAGGCCACAGACCCCCTGCTGCCCTAACTTCTCACACTGCATTTGCACTTCCTTTGTAACTTTCCAAATGAAAAATCAAATACATCTTTTCAGTGACACAGTTTTTATCTGAGCCCATCTGTAGAAGCATCAGTCCCCCCCAGCATAGGAGCACATGGCCCTCTCTGTGCCAGGGCTGGGACATAGAGGCCGGGCTCAGTTCTCCTCCTGCCTCCTCACCACAGAAAAGCTTGTCTTCCACACTTCACTCTGGGGCACATTTATTTACCGACAGCAGTTTTCTTAGAAACAGCGGTTATTCTTGGCCTATTGTATATGCTTAACTAGAGGGGGGAGGGAGGGATTTCCCCCCCCCTCCAGTTAATAAGATATTGATGGGGGAGGGGGAGATTTTGATATAAGAAAAGAGATCATGCAACATAGATTTCACCCAAAATATGTGTTGCTTCAAGTCCTGGGGAGGGCAGGAAGGCAGGATCAGGAGCCAGATGGCCCAGGGATGTTGTATTTAGACAGTATGCTATTGTAAAAATTCTCAGAGTAAGTTGCCAATGTTTTAAATTGGGGAGTGTTCACAAAAGAATCTGGCCCCTGGCCTCCTTGTTTAAAAGGAAAACAGCGTTGGCAGCGGAGAGCTCACACTCCCACCAGACAGCCACCACTGGGAGCCAAGGAGCGGAGGCGGCGTGACACTTACCTGCCGGCCCTCAGAGGCCTCGCAGTTGGCAGCCATCTGGGTCTGTTCAAAGGCGTACTCAAGTCGAGCAACCACCGCTCCAAGTGTCCCCATTCAGTGTATGGGGAGCACACGTCAACGTAGCCCTTTCTGGGGAGAAGAAACCCTGTATGCAGCAAAAAATAGCTGTTTCTCCAAACGTGACTGTCTCAACGGGAGAATGAATACAGCTCTACAAGGGAAAAACCGCAGGCACTGCTCCCAACGTCCCAGCATTGGTGCTTCTGCAAACAGCGTCTGCCAGGGGCTGGGTTCACACATGAACCCCCGCCAACCAACCGCGTGGGTCTAACACTGAAGGACTTCATGGACTTGAGGTCAAGCATTCTTCCCCTAAGAAAAACCAGAGAGCCGGACCCAAGGTCCCCTTCTGCACCCAGTACTGTTAAAGAGCAGCAGCGGGACAACATAAACCTTTCTCACTGGGTCAGAACTCGACAAAGTTCTCTGTAGAGTGCACCCTCTGCAGCCGTGTTGAAGGTTTGGCTGCTGGGTAGCTAAAGACAGGATGCGAAGGGACCCTGGGAAGGAGTCGCTGGCTTGAGGGTAGGTGCCTTTTTGTCAGCTGTCCCCAGTGAGATCAAAACAGCATTGGTCACAGGATACCAGACACAGAACTTGCCAAAACAAGACAAAACCACTTGATCTCAACACTTCGGTGTGGCTTTGTTTTCAAGCGTTTAGGCCAGGATGGTTTCGGCTTCGTCAGTGCGTCCACCTCTGCTGCCCTGCGGACAGGCTGTCAGAGGACCAATCACTGGGTTTTGCCTCTTTACCCCGGCCCCTGCAGCTTCTGACATAGTCTATCAAAAGCGTGGCTGTGGAGGAGAGAAGCCTCCGGATATCTGACTCCACCATGCCCTTGTGCACGGGGGTCTGAAGTGGCGTTTCCGCCGGGGGCGTCTTGCTGTGCCTCTGAGTCTGCATGTCTGTCACTGTCTCAGGCAGCCTCAGGCATATCTGCCCTGGAAACATGGGCACCTGCTTTCAAGACCCTGCGCTGCCAGTGATTCTCATCGTGGTCTGGAAGTCAAGAATCCTCTGCAAAAGGGTAAATTCGGGTCCAGACTCTTGCTCTCAGTAGTCTCATCAGCTGCTGGGTTTCTCAAAGATGACAGGTTTCTTCAAATAGGGGCCCACCAGCAGCCCAGCATGGGCAAGGGGGCAAGCACCCCCCCTCAGGAACAGTCTAAGTCTATGCCACTGATGAACTCGGTTGCTAGGGAAGGGGAACTGCTTAGGTAACAGGCCCTTGGCAGCAGAAAACCTACCTCAGCCTCTGGCTGGGCCCAGCGCACCCCCACCCCCACCCCCGGGCTAGCAGGGAGGCGTCCAGCAGTGTGTTGGTTCCTATCGGCTCTGCCATGTGCTGGCAGGCTGCCCTCTTCCTTATCTCTCCAGAGTGGGTTATTTCCAAGACAGCTAGCGTCACTCACAGCAAAAAGCCATGACCTAACCAGGACCCTAAATGGCCAACTCCAACCTCCAGAGCTGGCTGTGGGCCCGCGGGACATTCCCAGCAGCTCCAGAAGGGCGCCAGGAGCGTTTTCAGAAAGTCCCTATCTGCAGTGTTAGACTCACTCAACCAGGGAACAAGATCCAAGGATACTTTTCACAAGCTACTTAGAGATGCCAGGAAGCCCCTGCTGTTTGCTTGCGTCCCTAGCACCACTGGAATCAGTAATACACCAGAGCACAGTGCCTGGGTTCTGAAATCCAAGCAGCAAATGGGGCCTTCTCACCCCCACCTTCAAAGGCAGCTTCCCACGGTCAGAGCCTGAACACAGTTCACTGCTGCCCGGCGAGGTAAAGCCACAAGGAGCCTCCTTGGGTGATTCATTTCCAAATGAACAATCTCTTCATGGCTTCTATGGTAGAACATCAACTGTTAAATGAAAAAACTGTAATGGCGTCCCTTGGGAGGCATGCAAGTAACTACTGAAGTCATGAGGGACCACTAAAAGTTGACATTTCAGTGTCATCAGAGACACAACAGCTAACACCTCAAACAGGGTGCCCCCCCCACCCCAATCCGGATCATTAGTGAACACCACAGAACATCCTAAGCTGCGGGGGAAAGAATAACAGCATTAAGTGCTCGACTTGTACCAGCTGAGATACTAAGCACTTGACCTTTACCAAAACCTCAACTACTCTACGAGCTATGGTCCCTGGGCGGTGCAGTGTATGCACTACTAACTGAAAGGCACCTTGGAAGAAAGGCCTAGCAATCCCCTCCTGTAAACCTACAGCCTTTGAAAACCCTGTGGAGTTCAACCTAGAAAGGTGGCAGTGTAAACCAGCAGTTCTCAACCTGAGGCCGAACGGCCTTTTCATAGGGGTCACCTGACTCAACAGTAGCAAAACGACAGTTATGAAGTAGCAACGAAAATAATGTTATGGTTGAGGTCACCACATGAGGACCTGTATTCAAGGGTAGCGGCATTAGTAAGATTGAGACCCACACTCAACGTGAGCCACTGTTCAAGTGAGTTCAACCAAGTTGACAGGCGTCTGCAGCACTGTGGGTTAGGCGTTGGGCTGCGGATGGCAGGTCAGCCACTTGGACTCACTAGCGGGAGAAAGGTGAGGCAGTCTGTTCCCTTAAAGATTGACAGTCTCGGAGAACGTGATGGCAGTGCATTTGGGGGTAGTTTTATTCAATATCCCGTGGAATTCATGGCTTGGAGGCTAGAAATCCTTAACTTGGAATTCTCAGGCCCATCCATCCATTAGCCATGGCTCCCCGTGGTCACTTGGCCGTATGGCGTAGGAAAAGATGATAATGCCTAAAGAGAAAATTTAATTCTTAAGCAGCAGTATTTGTTCTTAAAATCATTAAAGGCAGGTGGAGGCCAGGCCTGATCTAATTTCTGCGTGGATAGAGTTCAACTGCACAGATGCAGAACCTGAGCCCTGAGCGAGCAAGGGGCAAGCTTGAAGAGGTTTGGTATAAGACAGCGAGAGGAGCAGATAAGCTCTGACACCCCCCCCCAAAATGATTTAAAATGCCGAGGGGCTGAACCTCCCATCTGTGGGTCAAAATGGCCCAGGGGCCAGAAACCTGCATCTCGTGGGCAAGAGTTGACTTATCTGCAAGTGTTTGGAAAAGGGAGTGTGAGCCAATCACAGACATTCAGAGAGGCCTGGCCTTCTAAAACTACTCGACCGAGTTCTGTTAACTGCACGAGAAGATCGTTGAAAGCACAGACCAGACTGAAAACGTAGTTGAATTGTGTTGCTTCTCTGAGAATCCATTTAGTCTTCGGGAAAATGGGGCCAGCTGCTTCAGAAGGTAAAGCCCCTGTGAGGCGACCTGATCACCATGGGGAGAAGCCCAGCAGTCTGTGTGAACCGGCTCTGCAGGTGAATGTGATGCCCCCAGGTTTCAGAACCACTGCCTTAGGGAGGTGAGGCACTGTATGGCTCACCTTCGGACATTTGCTCTGGAGGGTTATTAGAAGTGGGGATGCCACATGGGTAAAAACAAATAACCACTCTTATGGCCCTTCCTTAAAAAATGGACTAAGGGGGACACTGACCTTTTCCTGGACAGGGGAGGACAGATACCATGAGTGCAGTTCATGGTACTATCAGGAAACTCTTTGGCCTCTCTGCCACCCTCAACATTAAGACTCCCAATTTTGCAATGCAAACTTCCTTGGTAGCTCCTTCTCCCACATGCTCAAATTCCCTCCTCTTAAAAAAAAAAAAAAAAAAAAAAATATATATATATATATATATATATATATATTTCTGTTGAGCACCTACTGCGTTAAACATGGAAACCAATTAAGAAGCGTGTGCCAAGCCAAAAGCTCTGGTTTGTCTAAATTATAAAAATACTGCATCTACACTTCACTAAAAAAAATTATAGATCAGTATCCCTCATAAACATAGATGCAAACATTTTCAATAAAATACTAGGAATAGAATCCAATAATATATTTAAAAATCAATACATCATAACCAAGTGGGAATCATATCAAGTATATGAGGATGGTTCAACATTAAAGTAACAATCAAACCAACACATACTTGGCCCCCTTTTCAGACCAATAGAACTTGTATGCTGGGGGACTCAAGTGCATGTTTATACTTAGCCTAAGTAAAATATGACCATAAAATTAAAAGCTATGTAAGTACATCCTGAAAGAAAAAGAAAAGCAATCAGTGTAACCCATCACATGAATAAGAGAAGAAAAATCTCATGATCATATTGATCAACACAGAAAGGGCATTTGACAAACTCCAAAACATATAAAAAGACTCAACAAAACAGGGATAGAAGGAAAATTCCTCAGCATAACAAAGGGCATGCATACAAACCCAGCAGCAAGCCTTGCTCCCAATGGAGAGAAACTGAAAGCATTCTT